GGCGTCCAACCCCAGGCCTTGGCGCCTGGAACCAGGCTTGGCGCCAGGCGCTAGCCACTGTAGCCACTGGTGCCTGGCGCCAGTTAGCCAGGGTTGGCGCCAATCCTGTTTTGTGATCTTCAGACTCTGTTTTGTTAAATTATCTTTTTTGGCTGATTTTCTCTATAAATATCGTATTAAAAACTCCGTTTTCAGGCATCTACAATCATTATTCACCAACTATCTTCATCATCTACATCTATCATTCATCAACTCTCTTCATTCACAAGTTTTCATTCATCCTTCATCAATTCTTAATTAAAAACATTCTTTCTTTAGCATTCAATTCTTTCTTGCTTTTTAATACAAAATTCCGCATTCGCAAGATCTAGAAACACCTAGCCATATTCGAAGTTGCCTTCGCCCTAGACGTGAAAGAAAGAGGTACGAGGCATCCAAGTAAGTACTTTAATTGATTTATGATGTAGAAATCATGTTTACATTGTTATTATGATTCCTAGTATCATGTCTAGGTTAATTTTAATATTAAATATGATTGTTATGATGCCTTTTATTTTCTTCCTAATATTTATTCATGTTAGTATCATGTCAGGGTTAAAGATTTGATTTTTATCGCTTAGTGACATGCTAGGGTTTGTTATTAATCTTGTTAGTATCATGCCTAGGATCTTTCTATGCTTTAACATGATTATGATTATCATTAATTATGATTGATATTATTATTATTAATGATATTATTTATTATGTTGCTTGATATGTATTATATTTTATATTGTTATTGCTTGATCACCTTTTTATTGCATGTTTAAAGGGAATTTGTACTTGCAATCGCGCTTAATAAGATAATTAATAATCTTGTTAGGGTTAATGTGATTATAATTCAAGTGATCGCCAATAATAGTTTATTTGTGCATTAATATTCAACCAACATAGATTAAACAGGTTTAGGGTTAATCCTATTGTTGTTAATCAGAAAGCGCACATGAATACGAGCAGAATAAAGTAGAGGCCTATTATTAGGGCAGGTTCAATCTCTTTTAGGTTGGATTTGTACCTTCATCCCCGAACCCTATTTTGGTTCATGACCTTATGGAGTTGACGATCTCTTGGATCGTTAAGGGGTGTAACCTTCATCCTATGAACGGTTTACAAGTTCCTTAAAAACTTGTTGGCGACTCTTTTGCTCTATTTTCTTCCCTTTTGGACGCCACCGTACTTTAGTGTATGATCACAGTGGGGTTCAAGCTAGTGGGATTTTTAAGGCTTGAAATTATTCCCTACAATTATGTTGTGATTATTTAGTGAACTCTAGCGCATCATCAATCAACATAAATAAAATCTAACATGCATAATCTACTAATGCAATAAATCATGACATAGTATTGCCCCTTAGTCCTAAGAAAACTAGAAATGAAAAGGCTCCCACTTGAATCATCATGGATCTCCATCCAGCTTTCTCCTTTGGGCCTTCACTTCATGGGCTTCTTTGGACTAACACTATTTAAATAACTATTCTATTTACTTTAAATAAAAGTTACAAAAATACTTAACGGTACGCAGACCGTATTTAGATTACAAAAATACTTCACGATGCGCAGATCGTATTTAAGAATCTATGGGCCATACTAGTCTATATATAGCAATATAATATCATATATTATAAAAATGCCATATAATAAATCACTCAACATGCTTGTCTAAACTACAACATCGAATGTTCATAATAAAGTCAACGCATTTCCTAAAATATCTCATATTTTAATCATAATTAGACAATATCATATATTATTCATGACCGTTTATTAAATATCAATATATTTAATTTAGTCATGAGATAGAATCAAATCATATTTTAATCTAGAAAGATAAATCATATTTAATCTTTCATGATTATCCTAACAAATTTAGGAGATTTTATCCTAATTACTAGCCAATCAAATAATTTTAAAATCAATTATATCCTAATCTAATTATGGGATAATCACATTATTTAAATCAAATATTATCCTTTTTGAATATTTCAGATTATCCTAATCAATCTTATCCAAAATTAACCACTTTAATTAGGATAATTACCAATTTAACAACTTTAAATATGGATAATATCAAATATAACAACTTTTGAATATTTGATTTTATCCTAAAATAAAAGATTTTATCCAAATAAAACCAATTTTATCTTTTAAAATAAAAGATCATATTTTCAAAATATTTTATCTTATCCAAAATAAAACTGATTTTATCCCAAAATAATTCACAACTATCTTGAAATAATTTTTTTAAAAATAAGATAATTAACATTTTTTTTTGAAATACCGCAAGCCACCATCGCCGGCCACCGTGGTTGGCTAGCCGAAGCTAGCCACGGTGGCTGGCTATCATAACAGCAGCCACTACCGCAAGGCAGCAGCGGGCAGCTGCTCTGGCAGCCGTGGCAGCAGCCGTGCAACGCTTGCACACTGCTGCCCACAGCCACCCCGACCTCCGCCCTCCCCTTCCCTCCCTCTTGGACCACCACCTGGTCGGCAGCCGCCGTGGCTGCGCCACCCAGCCGCGGTTGCCGGCCACCCAAAACAATTTTTTTTGTGTTTTAATTTAATTAAAATAACACTTATCATAATTAAATTAAATCAGTCCATAAGATTAAAATTAAATCACATTTAACTTTAAAATTAGGGTTCTTCATAAAATTAATCCCAATTTAATTCTAACTTTTAAAATTAAATTGATCATCATAAATAAAACATTTTTTATGCATAAATCAATCCGATTAAAATTATGAATCATAAAATAAATCGAATTAAATCAAAATCAAGCACAAAAATCATATTTTAGGGCTAGGATTTTCGAAAATTCGAAAAATAGGGTTAAGGGGTTCGAAATTTTCGAACAATTTAGGGCTAAAATTCGGTCTCTTCATGGCTATTTTGAGCATAATTTAATCACATTTAATCGATTCCAAAAGTTTAATCACATTAAATATAATAATTGAACCATAATTAAATTAATTTTTCCCTCTTAATTGATTATAAAATTAACGTGGACATCAAATAATCGTATTATTATGATCTAGCGCGTTCATGCAAGAGGCTAACTGATATCACTGTAGGAGTTTATAGGTACTACGCAGCGGAAAAACATGAATCATATTCAATCAAGTACCAATCCTAAGAATCACATGCATAACACATAAGACACATAATCATACCTTTGACGTGTGAATTCAACGAAGCTATTCGACAGGAAAATTAGGGAGAGAATAGAGCCCTAAGCGTTGCTCCTCTACTTAGTCCACGAGATTCGAACGAGCCGTCCACCAATACTAGATTGGTCGAGTGATTGAGGAAAACCGCGATCACCACCTTTATGGACAACCGACCACCGCACAAACCACCACCACCACGACACACCACCGATGCCTGGGAGGAGGAGAGAGCCGTGTGAGAGAGAGGACTTTGAGAGGGGTTGGGTTTCGTATTTGCTAATTAGGGTTTGATCACACTGATCAGTTAATTGCTTACTTGTCATTGCAAACCTAGGCACCTAGTCTATTTATAATCTCATTATAATTAGACTAGGGCACGAAGCCCAAAAACCACTTCTATTCCTCTACATGGCCGGCCACCTAGAGTGATGAGGCCCATGATGGGCCTCATCCTCTAATGCTCGATCTAGCCCTTTTGTGTGACCTTATAGGATACGTCCAATTGGACTTTGGGCTATTTCACTAGTCCAAAGATCGTTAGTACCTCTAGCTATGGAAAAATGACGACCCAAATGTACGAACTTAATTATCTTCATAATTTGATCCATTTATATATCTAGTAATTGCACACGACGAAGACATAACTCCTTCAGAAACAACACATTTGCAGAGGTGATATTAGGACCCCTTCCACTTCTCTCTTAACATACTTTAAGTCTTTGACCTTAAAATTAGGCAATAAGGGTTCAACTGTTTGTTTCACTGGGTGAGTCGTATTGCACATTCTTCTATTGAGCTTGGTTTTAATTTCTTACAATTCCATAAAACTTATGTCGTTTTTTTTTTTACCTTTGTCTTTTGAAAATGATTTAACTCAGTCTTTTGTGACTGTGTTTTCCATTTAAGTCTTTGTGTGATACGAGTTGACGTGAATGTAAATATTTGGAATTTTGACATTAAGCTTTCTACTTCTTTTGAAACTAGCCACTAACTTTGCCTGACCTTCAAAGACATATTTGATATATTTCTCTGAGTCCATGTTAACAGTACACAGACTTTGATATTTTTCTTAAGCATTTGGTTTATGCTGTTTGTCGAGCAAATACATATTGATATCCTATATCAACCACGAGTGTTGATATAAGGGCATTTCTAACTTATCACTCATTAAAGTTAGGAAAAGAATGGAAAGTGAGTGATACCCCGTTGCAAGCCCTCCGTTGCACCCAATTGCAGACGTTAATTCTCCTAACGTCTGTTTAGCTCTCCAGGTCAATATTGGGGTTGACCTTTTGACAAACATTGCGTTTTACTTTCTTGCTCATGGTTGATTTATTGCAATAATTTTCAAATTCGATTCTAGTGGCGATAACTTTGAAGTTGTTGATTTCATTTACAAAGTCGAAGAATTGTTGATTGTTGAAATCCATTGAACACTCCAGTTATTACCGAATTCGAGTGTGTAATCAGTGTATTCTTTAATTCGCATGCAAATTGAAGATATTCTATAATTGTTGTGAAATTAGTACTATACACCCGGGTGCACCATGAACATGGTGCACCTGGGTGAAATTGTTGCTGCATGACATGCGTGATCTGTTTTTAAAAAAAAAATCATGTGTTTCCGTAATTTAAGGGATTGTGAAGAACATTCCATATTATTTGTTTCCAAAATTACTCCATCTACATTCTTCCATTATTTCAAATATTTTAGAGAGAGAAAATTAGAGAGAAGTTTAGAGAGAGAAATTATCAGCGATTTACAGAGAATTTCAGAGCAATTTTCTCAATTTTAATGGCGTATCAATCAGGATTTCGACATGATTCTGATGCTAGATTTGTTGATGATAACTATGGTGATGATAATGATGATGATAATGGAGGTGAATTTGAAGATATCGTAAACAGAGACGAAGGTAATTTTTGTTGAATTTTTGTTTTGATTATTTATTTGTGGATATATGAATTGTGAAATTATTAAAAATTAGGTTGAATTTGATTTTAGATTTAGATGATTGATTGTTCAATTGATTGTAATTTTTTTTTAATATAGGTTTTTTTTTTGTAAATATATATAATTGTTGGACGTTGAAGATGAAGTTCTTTTTATATTTGGACATGTTCTTTATTTTATTGATTTGTTATGTTCATAGTGTATATGTTCTTTTTATGATACATGTTCTTTTTCATATGATTTATGTTCTTTTTGTGAGACATGTTCTTTTTTTTTCATGTTCTTTTCATGATACATGTTCTTTTTTTATGATACATGTTCTTTTTCATATGAGTTATGTTCTTTTTTATGATACATGTTCTTTTTTTTAATATTCATGTTCTTTTTATGATACATGTTCTTTTTTTTCATGTTCTTTTCATGATACATGTTCTTTTTTTATGATACATGTTCTTTTTATGATACATGTTCTTTTTCATATGAGTTATGTTCTTTTTTATGATTCATGTTCTTTTTTTTAATATTCATGTTCTTTTTTTTTTTATATATTTTTGGTGATATAATTGCTGGACGTTAAATATGAGGTTCTTTTTATATTTTGTCATGTTCTTTATTTTATTTATTTGTTCATGTTCACAGTGTATATGTTTTTTTTATGATACATGTTCTTTTTCATATGAGTTATGTTCTTTTTATGATACATGTTTTATTTATTTTTTTATTTTCATGTTCTTTTCATAATACATGTTCTTTTTTTATGATACATGTTCTTTTTATGATACATGTTTTTTTCATATGAGTTATGTTCTTTTTATGATATATGTTATTTTTTTAATATTCATGTTCTTTTGTATGCAGATGTTCTTTTTATATGAGTTATGTTCTTTTTTTAATATTCATGTTCTTTTTATTATTTTAGGCTTTACTGAGGCAAAGGAATCTGAACTTTATCTCAAAAAAGTCAAGTCTGATGATGAGGCATATGAGTTGTACAATAATTATGCATTTAAACATGGATTTGGTACACGTAAGGCGAAAAAGAATTTTAGAGAAGATAAGGCTACTATTCGCCAACGATTTTGTGTTTGTTCTTATGCTGGTTTTAAGAAAGAAAGAAAGCCAGGTGATGAACCAAAAGTGTATCAGAAGAGAAACTGTCGCACAGGATGCAAAGCAATGATTCAATTTGATGTTGAATTAGATTCTGGTTTGTTTGTTGTTGTCAAACATCTCATGGATCATTATCATAGCAGAATTCCAGTTTCAAAAAGACATTTGATTAGGTCTCATAGGAAGGTATGATCTTTTTATGATACATGTTCTTTAATATTTTAGGATGTTCTTTATTATATATAAGTATGTTCTTTGTGAAAACATTATGTTCATTAATGTTCTTTTTCGTATAATGTAATGTTCTTTATGCATTTTCAGTGTGTTCTTTTTAATAATTTTAATGTTCTTTTTCAGTAACAGTGATGTTCAATTTATTTTCATAATTGTTCTTTTTAGTTTGCATCATGTTTATTAATGTTTATATTGATACTGATGTTCTTTTCTGAAATATTGATTTTAACATGTTCTTTTTTTCTTAACTATTTATAGATCAGTCAAGAACAATTTGGTATGCTTAATAGTTTAACTGAGAATGGTATACGTGTTGCTGATGTTGTTCGAGTTTTAAAAAATCAAGCTGGTGGTGAGAAAAATTTGGGATTTCTTTGCAGCGATGCTTATGATGCTTTAGCTTCAGAGAAGAGGAAGAAGTTTGATGGTTGTGATACTAAGCAACTACTCAGTTATTTTAAAGAACGCAAATCAAATGAGTATGACTTCTACTATGATTTTGATGTTGATGATAAAGGTCATTTGCAATCTTTCTTCTTTCGAGACAATAGGATGAAGGTTGATTATGATGCTTTTGGGGATTTATTGGTTCATGATACAACATATCGTACAAATAAATATGCTATGATTTGTGGTCCATTTGTTGGTATGAATCATCACAATAAAAATGTTATGTTTGGCATTGGATTTTTGATTAATGAGAAGTGGGAGTCATTTGTGTGGTTGTTCACTACCTTTTTGAAATCGATGGGTGGTAAACATCCCGTTTCAATCATGACTGATCAGGCCCAAGTTATGGCCAAGGCTATTAGAATTGTCTTTCCAAATTCTCGGCATCGATTATGTACTTGGCATATCAAAGAGAATTCAAAGAAAAATATCAAAGGACTGAGGGAAAAAGAAGGGTTTAATGAATTGTTTGACATAGTCCTAAAATACACAGATACTATTCAGGAGTTTGAGCACTATTGGTCTAGGTAATATTCTTTTGATGTTATGATTTTATTTTGATTTTATGATTTATATTTTCACATGTTCTTTTTTGTATAATGTAATGTTCATTATGCATTTATAGTATGTTCTTTTTAATAATTTTAATGTTCTTTTTCAGAAATAGTGATGTTCATTATATTTTCACAATTGATCCTGATGTTCTTTTTCAGAAATATTGATGTTCACATGCTCTTTTTTGTATAATGTAATGTACAATGTACTGTTTAATATGTTTTTTTTGGCAATTACTGTTGTTCATTATATCTTTACAGTATGTTCTTTTAGTAAGAATTATGTTCATTAATGTTTTTCCAAATTTCAGCATGCTTACAAAATATGATTGCAAGAATAATAGTTGGATCAACAACTTGTATAACATCAGAGACATGTGGTGCCCTGCATACTGTAAGGACTATTTTAGTGGTGGTATTTTATCTTCTCAGAGAAGTGAAACTACAAACAGGTCTGTTTCCCGTAGACTTCATATCACTAATGGGCTTTGTGAGTTTTAAAATTCTTTCATTGAGGTTGTTGATGAATGGAGGAGTAAAGAAAGCAGAAATGATTATGACAGCATGACTGGCAATCGTCATTTAGTGTGGGCAGATGTTGGTTTGTTAGAGCATGCTCGAAACATTTACACAATTCAAGTGTATATACAATTTGAGGATAATTTTGTGAGTGGTGTTCCTTGCACAGCAAAGATAATAGGAATTCAACATCCTCTTTATGAGTATCATGTTGGGCATCCAAAGAGGGATTTGATCATGCACACTATTTCTTTTGATGAATCATTGGTTTCAGTTGATTGTACATGCAAATATTTTAGTGAGGTTGGACTACTATGTAAGCATTCATTGCGTGTTCTTCATTTGAACAACATCACCTACATCCCGAAGAGGTATATTATGAAGAGATGGACAAAGGCTGCAATGTGTACTCGGGTTGATGATAATGTTGTAGCTGAATCGGGAGTTACACCTTCAAATGTGTGGAGATTACATATTATTAGGACTTTTATAAGGCTTGCTGATCGTGCACAAATTGATTTAAAGTCGCGAACTGTCATTGAGGAAGCTATTGATGAGTGCACCAACAAAATTGATATTCTTCTAAGGAAAGATGAAAGTGAAAATCAAGAGTCTTCAAATACTGATTGTCAGTCAACTGTAACACAAGATCAAGGAGATGGTAATTTGTTGGAACCACAAGGAGTAAATGAAGAATGTGTTCCTCAAACTGAAGATGTGAATGGTAAACAAAAAGCTGTAGTTCAAGTAGAAATTAAAGATCCTATCAAGAGAAGAAAGAAGGGGCAAAGAAACACTAGACCTAAGAGTACATAAGAAAAGATAACCAACAAGCTAAAGGGTCAAAAAATCAAGTCATGGAAAAGGAAAACAACAAGAGGTGTTTCAAAATTGAAACAAAAAGCTCAAACTACGATTAAGGTACAGATTTGAGAACTCACAATACCATGTTCTTTTTACTTTACTTTATGTTCTTTTATATATATGTTCTTTTTACTTTACTTTATGTTCTTTTATATATATGTTCTTTTTACTTTATTTTATGTTCTTTTATATATATGTTCTTTTTACTTTACTTTATGTTCTTTTTTACAAAATTAAAAGTTTATATGTTCATTTCACATTAATATATGTTCTTTTTAAATATATGTTCTTTTTACCTTACTTTACGTTCTTTTTTACAAAATTAAAAGTTTATATGTTCATTTCAAATTAATATATGTTCTTTTTAAATATATGTTCTTTTTACCTTACTTTATGTTCTTTTTCACAAAATTAAAAGTTTATATGTTTATTTCACATTAATATATGTTCTTTTTATATAAATGTTCTTTTTACCTTACTCTATGTTCTTTTTTACAAAATTAAAAGTTTATGTTTTCATTTCACATTAATATATGTTCTTTTTATGTATATGTTCTTTACATATCTTAACTTTCTTTTTCCATTAATATATATACTGCTTAACTTATTTTTTTTTATTTTTTTTTCATTTGTTGTGTTATAGGAATTTATGGTTGTACCAAAAGGAAACATATTGGCACATTCAAATGAGTTTGGAGGATCATTAGAGTATTTTGAACTTGATGAGTATTTTGGAGTTCATGTACTTCCTTTTGAACCTTGTCATTAGTAAGAAAATTTAGATTTAATGTTAGTTTTACTTTTTTTTTTTTATATATTTTGTAGTAGATTCAGCATATTAAAGGTTTTTTGAACTTATATGATTTCTTATATAGCATATTATGCACACTTGTATTCATTTCAAATCAAATAAACAATAGTCATTCATTAAAAAGAACATGTCATTGATTAAAAAGAACATGTACTTTAGTCAAAAGAACATATCATAAATTGTAAAAGAACATTACTTATATAATAGGAATATGTTTTTTGCAAAAAAAAGAACCAAGTCATATAAATACATATAAATAATTGAAAAAATAATAAGCTGTTGCTATTACGTTAATGTTTCAACATCCAAATAAACCTGAAATTTTAAATGTTCCCTAATTCTTTGAAATGTTTTTTGGCACGAGCACACATTTCTGGTTTCTTCATGTTGAGATCAGTGGTGATAAGCTCATATGTGTACCTCAATCTTAGCTTCTTCAATGCATCAAACTGTAAAAAGTGAATGAATAAATTACAACTCAGTCAATAAAAACAAAGCACAAATTCATTTATAGATAGACAAATCTTACATTATTAGCTTTGAGACCACAAGTCCATTTTTTCTTCCCAAAATATGTTTCCATGTGTCTCATTGCATACACACCACAATCAATATTGTTTTTCTCAGTCCTCCATGGCATTTGAACTAACTTCACAGGGTAATTGGACATGTTCTCCCCTATTTTAATATCTTTGCTTTGCAAGTATAACCCAAGAGCATTTCTCTGTTAAAAAAGATTATAAGTTATTATCATAAAGAACATAAAAAAAAAAAACATAACGGTTGACTAAAAAGAACATACGACACTGAATTCTTACTAATTTTTCAGGATAGTCAAAATATTTATTCTCCATTGGGATTCCATCTGCAAGTGGTCTGTTGTCAAGTATATCTACTGTCTTTGTCCTAGTGTTGATGACAACAACATAGAAATGTACAGATACGTACACAGGGAAGAAGAACTGAAACATTTAAAAAGAACATGTCATCGAAGAAAAAGAACATAAGTATTAAATAAAGAACATGTTATTGTCTACAAAAGAACATAACTAGTAAATAAAGAACATGTTATTTATAAACAAAAAGAACAAACTACAACAAATTAAAATGAACATAAGTGGTAAATAAAGAACATGTTACCTAAAAGAAATAGCATAATATAGCTTATGAAGAAAAAAATTTCAACTTACCAATTGATATCCATCTGAAGAAAAAGAACATTCATGGTACAATAAAGAACATTTCACTAAAAAGAACATCCATAATATATAAAAGAACATGCACACTGAAAAAGAACGTTCATGATACATAAAAAGAACATCTAGAATATATAAAAGAACATGTGATTAAAAAGAACATGTTCTTTAGTCAAAAGAACATAAGTATTAAATAAAAAACATGTCATTGACTACAAAAGAACATAACTAGTAAATAAAGAACATGTTATTTATAAACAAAAAGAACAAGCTACAACAAACTAAAATGAACATAAGTGGTAAATAAAGAACATGTTACTTAAAAAAAATAGCATACTATAGCATATGAATAAAAAAAATTCAACTTACCAATTGATATCCTTCTGCAGATTCTATTTTGTTACTTTCATTGAGCCAAAAATGCATAGTCTCAAAAAATTTGTCAATCCTATATCCAGGTGTTGGTGATTGACTATCATCAGCATATGACTCATTCATGCATAGTTGATTCTTTAAAAAAAAAATCATATAAAAAATATTTGAACACAATAATTAAAATAAAGGAATAAAAAGAACATATTTCACTAAAAAGAACATATCTCACTAAAAAGAACATCAGGAATTATGTTACTCACAAAGGCATTGTTTGCAAAGAAAATCCTTTTTTTATCATCAACAAAATTCCTTGAATTGAGGATTAATGCCCAAGCATCAATAATATCAGTGTATAAATACACATTGTCCCCAAGTGTTCTGAACATTTCTCTTGTCAAATTTGTATGCCCATCATCATACATCCATTCACTAGGAAAACAATATGAAATTGTATAAGTTAAATATAAACAAGAGAAAATGATAGTATATACTGCTCTTTAATATGTACCAAACTTACTCGTCATCAAGTTCTGGGGCATATGCATACTCTAATATAGCATGCTCAAACTATTCTGTTCCTTCTATCATATGAGAATATTTTACAAGGTAAGGTGACTTGTAAATATATGCCTCCTTTCTAACCCTTTTGACAGCTTTAGGGGATCCACTATAAAAAATAAATAAATAAATAAATTGCAAACTATCATAAGTTAAAGAACATTCATATATATTAACAAAAAAAAAGAACATTTAATATTTTTTATACAAAAAAAAAAACATTTAATATAAATTATAAAGAACATTTGCCACAATCAAAATGAACATGCTTACTGAAAAGTTTAATAATACTATTAAAAAGATCATCCCACTTAAAAGTTTATTTATAACATGCACACTGAAAAAAACATTCATGATACATATCTAAAGAACATTTATAACATTGAAAAAGAACAACAACTAAAAAGAACATTCATAATACATAAAAAGAACATTTCACTAAAAAGAACATCCATAATATATAAAAGAACATGCACACTGAAAAAGAACATTCATGATACATAAAAAGAACATTTCACTAAAAAAATCATCTATAATATATAAAAGAATATGCAAACTACAGAAGAATTTTCATGAAACATAAAAAGAACATGCACACTGAAAAAGAACATTTCATAATACATAAAAGTTCATCATACAACAAAAATATTTACCAATCTTCAACCAGAGTTTCTTTTCCTTTTTTCAAATTCTTCTCAGTTATCTCCATTGACTCAATTTTCTTCTTCTCTTTTTCTTCATCTTTTTCCAGAATTTGTGTTTCAACCCTTTCTTTTGCAATTGTTTTCTCTGCCTTTTCTTCCCTTTGTTCATTTTGTCCTTCTTCCATGCTTTTGTCATTCACCCTTATAACACTCAAAAAGAATATAAGAACATATATAAAGTAAATAAAAGAACATACAATACATACTCAAATAAAAAACATAATTTAATAGATAAAAGAACATAATTAATAAAAAAAAGAACATGCTTATAAATAAAAGAACATGAATGTACTTTCACAAGAGTCAAAGAACAAACAATACCAAACAAAAAGAACATGCATATAAATAAAAGAACATGAATGTTCTTTCAAAAGTGAAAAGAACATACAAAAGTTAAATAAAAAACATATTCTTTCAAGAGTCAAAGAACAAACAATACCAAACTAAAGAACATTTTTATTAAACAAAAACAACATATAAAGTCAAACTAAATAACATATTCTTTAAATAGTCAAAGAACAAACAATATCAAACTAAAGAACATATTAAAAAGAACATACTTATAAATAAAAGAACATGAATGTTCTTTCACAAGTGAAAAGAACATACAAAAGTCAAATAAAGAACATAAACCTGTTCATCACAATAATATTACACATTAATAATTCAAATAATACATTTCTGAATAAACAAATTGCATAATTAAAAGTCAGTATTTGAGTCAGTTAGTTACCCCATCGTTTGATTACTCATGACTTGGTCCATTGCATTGGACTCCAATTGTTGCTCGGTGAAGTGTGAATCATATTGAGAAATGTCATCAAAAGCCTGATCACCCATATTGATTGTACTTGACATGCTTAACCCAAGTGTAAGCCTTAGGTCACATGATGATTCAGGCAATGTGGTGGTTGGAGTAATGACATTAAATACAATTGGTTCAAGTGTGGATGATTGAGTTCTCTCCTCCTGAACTCCAGATCTTCAACACTCATATTGTCACCAAATTCCTTGGTGTTTTCCTCAAAACCAGCCATCTTGAAAACATTATCTACCATTTCACCAAACCAGTCAGAGGCAAAGAAATCAGTGTCCTGACTAAGAATAGAAGTCCCTTCTTCTCGCTGTGTAGGTATATTTTTCTGATTTTCTTGGGAAAATTTGATTCCAGAACATTTTGCCGACATTGTACTCACATTTAATAATGTGGTGTCTACATAAAGTGTGTTACCATGGAACCTCTCCCCTAATTTTAAAACATTTGAGAGGTTCACAAACCCTTCAGCAATTCTCTCTGTTGCCTGACGA